TACTGCTCCTGATGTCCGCATGACCATCGAGAGTTCCTTTTGGGGGAGATTGAAGTTCGCGCAACTCCACTTAATAGATTCTGAGAACTCTCAGCCGATCGGACGGGTTTCCCGCAGAAGCCGATGGAAATTCAGGAAGAGACCGCATACCCGAGCAACTCGTGAATTTTTCCCGGATCCTCGCGGTCACCTGGTTGCTCCGTAGGACGTGGGGCTGCTCGTCTGACGCAATTGGAATTACGTACGTACAGCGGTAGTAAAAGAGCTGAGCGTTTCATTTACTGGCGCGCGTGACTCGAGTCGAGCAAAAGGATTATGCAGGAACTCGGAGAAGGCGATAATGAAGATGTTTCGTCAACGTTGGCAGAGGCAGCGGAGCTACTACGGGCGTAGGCAGGTTTTTGCTCTCTGGCTCACTCACTCAGTCACGGGAGCTGTTCGCGAACGAGAACTTGGCCTTGTGCAGAGTTTTTTCTCTTCGCTCTTCTTGCATTGCGGCAACTGTGGAGCGTCCGTATGAGTCTCCTGGAGGAAGGAGGCGATAAGCGAAAAACTGAGAACGAGCCCTAGAAGACGTCGCGTCGCTCGTCGTCCAATAACCTGGATGACTCCACGATCTGCGTTACGAGATAAAAGCCACTGAAGATAACCGAGAAGACAAAGCGTTCAACCGAAGCTCGGCTGTAAAGGAAGCTCCGGAAAATAGACTCGAGGACACGGAGAAGAAAGAGCGGAGTACACGACGGGGAGAAGGAGTATGTGCGCGACGCGCTCGCAGGAGCCGGGAATAGAAAGACGCGACTGAAGGGATTCATCGACCGTCTCCTTATCTGTAGCGCGAGGTCCGATATCGAAAATCTTTAAACACATAATGCACGGCGTGTGTGCGCGGGTTTGTACGAGAGGGGAAAAGAGGAAATGGAGAGCTCTGTCGCGAACGCACCAGGATGAGTGGCTGCTGCGGGAAACAAAGGAAACCAAGATTGTCATTCAATCGAGCTAAATGCACAGGAGCATACCATTCGGCGGAAGACGAGCTCTCGCGGAAGAGATCTACGGGGCTGACAGAGGCTCCAGATCAACAATTATCCGCTTTCTGCGTATGGGGAGCGAAAAAGAGACCTGAATAACAATGATTATCGTTCCGCAGGGTCACGCTCCGGTGAAAGAAAACTGCGAGCTGAAAGAAGTCGCACGACCGTGTGTAATCACTTGTCGTGTGAGATCATTCGTCAATGAGCTGGTGCTTCTCTCGAATTCTTCAACCATTTGCAATGCAGATCCACGACGTCTCGCGGCGAATTCTCCCGAGAGGGAAAAAAGACCGAGATCGACCGAACAACAACAGAGTTCCCCTTACTTCTCAAGTCGAGGGCAGATCTCTCGAATTCGCTCCTCGCGCAGCCTCCGGAAGGCAGCCGCTCTCCCGCGGCCTGTTTGTCGATCATTGAATTTCCTCGGCACGAATTGAATAACAATATGCTCATGCGCAGTACCCCGAACAGCTGGATGACAAGATGGATCCGGAGATCCATTCATTGTCGAGTCGATCAGTCCGACTAATCGCGCGACTCGCGAGCCGCTCTCAAACCGAGTCCGACGAGATAAGTTGTAGGGAGCCGGAACGACTAAACTAACGTTGAGTGAGTCGGCACGCAGCCGCTCGTGGGGCGCACGGCGGTCGACGCTGTCAACGGTCTCTGACGGACGGATTTCTTTTTGTGTGCGAATCGTTCTGTGCGTTTGGCGGGAGCAAAGTTTTTTGCACCGTCTGCAGAAGCGCCGATAAGCTGCTTAACTGTCGCCCTCGCTGACGTTCGTAGAGATGGTGGAGAGGGGGTTAGGCGGTGTCTAGCAAATTATCCTCCGGAGTCGGTCTATGTGGCAGCGGCGGTGAAAACAGCAACGAAGGCTGAGGGAAGAGAAGTCGTCGTCGCCGTCGGCACTGAGCGATCGTCTGCATGTCGCGCGGTGTTTGCTCACCCTGCCTAAAAATTCCACCGATTAACTTGAGAGTCCACCGTCAGCGTGGGCAGATAACTAACGGAGAGAAGGCGGCGAGACCCCGGAAGGGGACAAGCAGTTCCCCAAACATTGTTCCAAAGGTGGACCCGCGGGCGCGTCGGAGGATTAAACCGCATCGGGGGCAAACAACATATATATGTATACAGTGCGATGTTCAGACGATGCTGAGGACAAGGGTTGCCCAGTGTAAACGCTAACGAGATCGAATATTCTCCGGGAAAACGGATTTCAGAGCTTGAGGGAAGCTTTTGGGTGAGAAGAAGAGGGGGCGACGTGGCACTCTTCGCTCCGCGATAACCCTCTTTCGTCCGAGAGGTAGGTCATCCCTTCCGCAAACACGGGCGCTCTCGCCGAACCATCCCTCACGATTCATATCTAAGATGACACCCGTCTCCTACAGCTGCGCTAATGAGAGTCGGGCAGGATGGCAGAGGAATTTCTCGGAGAACTTTTTTCTGTCCCTTGTCCGCGCTCGCTCGGAACCTGGCTCCGAAATGGAGCTTCGCAGACGCCAACGATCGGATAAAATTCATCCCCCGTGCTTGCTCCTCTCCGAAATTCCGAAATAATTTTCGCGGACCTCCTAGGCACAGGCACCCAATACTAGGGAGTGACCGAGGAACTAATGGTGCCGAGCTCTATGCAGATTCCTGAAAGTCTTAATCGATCCGGATTTCCCCTCCCTTTATTGTCGACCCGCTTGGAAACAGAACCCAGCAGATTTTTCTCCCTCCGCTGAGCTTCGAGACAGGAATATAAGCTGCTCCGAAGGAACTACTCAATCAAATTGCAATTCACTTTCTGAAATGAGTTTCGCTACCGATCCGAGGGCTTTAACAACGACGCAGCAACGCCATTCGAATTAGCAGGTCCTCGGAAACTAAGATCATGCACCCTGACATCTTCTCCTCGGCTCAGGCAGCGCGTCGGACGCGGGAGGCTGCAGCCGGGAGTGTTCCTCTCAAAAGCTTGCGATACGGTTTGTTGGAAGCTTCATTACCACCATGCTTCTTCTTTTTTCACTTTTGGGCATCCTCAGGGAGGTTCTCAAGTTTTGGGGGTGGAATCTTCCCCGAACTCAATCTGATCGCGCCCTCAGAAGTTTGTGCAGCTGGAACGGCTCGAGCACGCTTTGTTTTGCCGATGCCCTCCAGTCGATTCTTGACCGAGTGGCCTATCGGCTACAGGTTGGAGGCGAGAAGAACAACCGGGGGGTTGGTTTTTTATGTGGCACAGGCTCGGTCACAAGCAGTAACGTATGAGCCGTTTAGAACTCTCGAAACAAATCTTTCTGCAGCAGCAGAACAAAATAAGAGAAATACTTTCGTCCTGCGGCGTTCCTGTCTTCCTGCCAGTTATCCAGCTGCCCAAGCGGACCGCCTCCCGTGTCGGCTGCACGGTGGAAACGTATCATTAGACTTTTTCCAAGAGTTTATTACAACCTTCATCTTCCTTTCGTTCCGAACGACGTCCTCTGCCCTCCAGCCCCGATTCCCCTCCTCAGGAGTCGTCCTCCTTCGCATCTCACGTTTTATGGGGGCTTGGAGGGAATCTCTAGGTCGCCTCCTGAGCTGCTGCTGCGGCGTCGACGACGCGACGGCGGCGCGCGAGGAGGAAAATTTCCAGCGAGCGGATGACATGTTCATATGTTACGGGTGGATGAGAATTGAAGCTTGACATAAGAGCGAGGTAATCTCTTGAATTTTCACGTCCAGCAGGCTCTGAATATTTTGTCGCAGGTTTCCCTCTTTTGTTTCCTCCTGTTCCGAAACGAGACTGCTGACATTGCCCCACATACGCTTGTGAGTGCGAAAATCTCAGCAAGCGAGAAGCGTTCAACAATTTGCATTCAGAGTGGCAATCATCATCGAGCCCGACTCGGGTGGAGTTCGTATTGATTTCCATTTTTTCTGCTTTTCCAGCGAAGCCCCGGGAGGTGTAAGGTGGGGAAGGAGTTTCCAAGGCAGGGCGGTTCTACGAGGGGATATTGACTTTCCGTTGACTCAATATCAGAGTCCGCTCGTCTTCCGTGTTCCTAGCGAAGCTTGCCTGCTTCCAGTGAATCAGCCCTTTTCCGATGTGGGATTTCCGCCGTACCCCTCGAGATTTTCGAAGTCTGGCCCGTCGTTGTTTTTCTTCCCGAGTACCGATCGGCTGCTCTGATTCTCCCTTTCTTCCTACCCCGCCGTCGGTTATCCTAATTCAGCTCTAATCGCTCCTTTCAATTTTCCCTTTCACCAAACTTGCTCCTCGTTTCCTCATCTACGAACATTTCACAGCCTCCAGTCTGGAGAGGGTCAAACGGGCCGACGCTCCAAATCGGATTCATATCCTCGCAGTGGGTCCGTCACGCAAAACCCTGCGTGGCAAGGACGAGGCATCGAACGCCCGATCTAGAGAGATTTCCCATCAAGAGCGCATTGATCAACAGATCCGACCATACACCGGCTAAACGTTTTCGGTCCCCCAGGATCCCGAGGGAATGTCGCGAGGGACTGAAACGAAGCTGATCATTTGTTGACAACGCTCGTCGAGGCTCTCCCATTCTAATCACTACCGCTATCGAATCCCCAACGATATCGTCCGAATGTTCTCATGCCAACCGCCCGAGGAAGCAGGCGCAAGCGCTCTCCACCGGGAGGTCAGTCCGAGATTGAATTTCAGGAGACGAACCACCGCTGTCGCCGGATCTCTCCCCTCTGACCGCAATACGTGAGATCTAGATAAAGAAACTCCGATTGCTCCGTGATTTCGCCATTGATCGTGCAGAAGCTTATCGCTCGTCTACACGTCTAAACACCGGGAAGAACATTCGAAATTGCAATCGATAAGTCGTCACCCCCCTCCCAGCGCTCCGGCTCGAAGGAGCCCATTCGAGTTCTTCTCCGACTGCGAATATTTCATGCGGCTCCGAATTAAGGCTACGCATCCCCTCGTCGAACTCTATCCCTTTCGAATAGAACGCAATCACTCACCTTTCCTGTAGACCCTGTCGCTGCTGATTTCAGCTCTCGTGAAGGCCGGCACCAGAACCCAGAGTAAAATCCAACACCTCGACAGCATTGTTGACATGCGCTTTCAGTTCGCCAACATCTCTCAGAGTCAAAAAAGTTGCGCGCGGTCCTGCGGCCAACCTAAGCCAGACGCACAGTGGCGTTGTTGGTCGAGAAACCAGACTGTTGCCTGTTTCCTGTTGGCTAATGTGTGTTCCTTTGTGTTCACGTCGCACGAATCCCTTATTCCCGGTGCGTGTCTTCTTCAAATCAGACTGTCTATTAGCCAGCACATTGCGGACTGCCAATTCACGGCACCGAGACCATTCTGTCTCTGCACATGGCACACTCGAGCACAACTGAAGCTTTTCCCGCGCACGGTTCGCTTGCGGGTCGCGCTCTACCCTCTCTCAAAAAGGATTCGATCCCTTTCCACAGCATCGAGCGCCCCCCGTGGAAACCGCTCGCATGGTACGGTTACCTCATCGCTTCATCTCACCAAAGCATATCACCGACCGAGTGAGAATGATTCCTTCGACCGACCAACGAGTCTAAGGTCCTAGACAAACGATGTAAAAATTCTCCGAGGATAGTGAAGAATTGGCTGCATGTCAAAGTCATTGCGCTTCTCGGGAGAGTCTCCCGATCCTTATGAGCTTGGAGTGTATCAGCATGCTTGCCAATCCAAGTGCGAAGCATTTTCACCGAATCGTCTCCCATATCAAGCGAATACTCTGAGTTTCCAAGTTCCCGCATGAGGTCGCCGCTCTTCCCTCATGGCGGTGCTGCGGCGAGTGAATCCCCGTTTGCTTGATCGGAGCCGCTTAAAACTTCGCAACGATGATTCCTCTCTGATCATCAATTAAGAAGAGAGTAATTCCGACAGCATCGGACGTTCGCTGTCGTTCGGTTCGGTGGGAAGCTTCTCTCGCCACTTCGGCGATTCTTTGCACAGCGTGCTAGGACTCGGCCTGTTCGGCAATCATAGAGCTGCTGGAAGCAAATCATCGATATACATACATATATGGCCCCCAAGTAGTTCGTTTTCCGGACCGTAGAGCTGGACGAATTGGAAGATTAGAGGAGGGTGGAAGCGAGGTCGCCGATTCCGTCAATCTGCTGGTCGTTCGGCCCGTCGAGATCGCGAAAAACGAGTTTCGCCGGCATCGGGGGACGACCGCAGAGTAAAGCAAGACTGCCTGGGCCTAGAATCCTCTCGTATGGGAAATGTCGGCTCCGCACTTGATACGAAGGGTGGAGCGATTACGTTTTCCTCCGGCAGTCTCGAGTAGAAGAGAGCAACAATCGAAATCATGGCTAAACTTTCGCAGCGCTCATCGCCTGCGCTGCTTCAGAAAGCGACTTGCGAGTTGACATTCTGAAACGCTTCCACAGAGCATCCAATTCTTTCGCTCTCGTCGTCACCTTGGAATAAATGGTGGATCCTCGGAGACTTTCAGGGAGGGGGAAGTCGGTGGCACGCGAACCGAGGGCTGGTGTCTCCCCGGACACCGACGCCCCCCTCCTCTGGATTTCGTTTCAGCTATGCGCGGTTGCGGAACGCGACTGATCGTTTACCTCGTTGATACGTGCATGGAGCACGGGTCAACGAGCGAGACGTCATAATTTCTTCAGGAGATTTTCCCTTCATGATCTCAGAGTGAATTCTCACCAAACAGATTTCCGCGTGAAATTGCTTTCGCCAGAATATATGCCATCCCTCGAGTTCAGGGAACACCAAGATCCAGATCCTCATCTGTACCTGTACCTGAGAAAAATGGCGGCCAACAGGAGATCGAGAAAGAAGGCTGTCCCAGAAGGGGCCTCGCGTTCCTGCTTACGCAATTGGAGGGACCCAAATAGACACGCCGGGGCACCGCTGATCGAAGCGAGACCTCATGCTTGAGTTAGCGGAAAATGTGACTCGCCGCGAGGAGTTCGACTCCAAGCTTCCCGAGAGAGCCAGATTGAAAATGCCTCGGCGGAGACCTCCTGACACTGCCAACGCTGAGGAAAAGCTATATGGCTAACATGGTTCACATTCGCTCGAATCTAGCGAGCCAAATGCCGCCGAAGGAGCTCGCAAATCCTTCTTGCTCAATTACAAGGTCCCTTCAATACCAAGTCTGAATCAGAATACCTTACATCGAGTGATTCGGAGCAATTCAGTGACCAGTAAACAAGTACTGTGGGACGAAGGTTGGGCACGTCACAGCAGGTCTCACGAGGGGAGCTTCCCCACGGAAGAGCAACGCGAGGAAAACGACAGAGGCTTCGACTCACAAGCCGACGCCAAACCTTCGATCACGAAACGGCGACCTTAATGTTCCAGCACTCATTCGCTGTTGTTTCAGTCGGTGAATCTGCAGGAAATACCTGCCGAGAATGGAAAATTCTTCTGGAAGTCGATTCCCGATGTGCGCCCCGCCGCGTCTCGTTTCCTAGTCAGGTTGTTGAAGAGCTCGAAGCCAACGGCCCGGAGCTGTAAATAACACTGTCAGTTTATGCTGTAAGCATCCCCGGAATCGGGTCAATTCCCCCTTCGACAGTCTCGTGTTCTCATCCAGGAGGTGTGATGTTTTCAATAAACACGAGCCAGAGAGGCAACTCGCTCAAAAGCGATCACCATCTATTCCTGGACGGTGATCGTTTGAAGTCGATGAACGAGATATTTACGTTGACGGCTCATCGTGGCAGACTTCGCGCACCTGGAGAATCTCCCTCGAAACCGAGCAATGTTTCAGCAGAGGATTCCGTTCGATTTCGCCTAGGAAGGACGATTCGCTCAAGCCGACAAGCGTCTCGAACGAAATCCGTGATTTTTCAGAAAAGCGGATTCTATCGGGGGATCATCCTGCGCTCACTCAGCTGTAGTCGAGAGTGAGACTGGAAAAGAGAAATACGAATCCGGCAGCATCAAATCCGAAAGGGAGGCCCCTGCCCAAGATGTGAGCGAACGATGTCATCGCTTCGGAAATTCGGTTCTTGACCGACCTCTCGCTCTCGTCGGACTATATCTGAAATGTCGAAAAGTCCCCTCTCAGTCGGCGGAGAAGTTCCCTCTCGTTGGCGCTTTTGACGACGACGTAGACGCGCTCGGTTGATTCCGTAGAACGCGAATCATAGCCATTTTTATCTTCTCCACTCCGATGCCTGGGTTGAGAAGTTATCAGAGTCTCCTCAACCTCATGAGGCGCCTTTGAAGTGCGTCCGAGCGCTATGACGGCGTGGTATAAGCGTTATTGTTACCGGCTACGGCTCGCGCACGCTCGCTCGCTTCCTCGCCTGCCCCGCTGGCGAACTGTGTTATCGTTGTTCGGCTCGAGTTGGCCAGAGTCAATGAGACGCTTCCATCGTCAACAACTCTTTGCCTCGGCGTTCGTTTTCTGTCGATCATCATTATCGTCGCGATGATCATAGAAGCCTAATAAATCCCTAACTGACACAGAGCTCCAGCAGCAGCAAAGCTTAATCACTGAAGGTCTGGTCCGAGGGGCTTTCCTGTCGATCAACGTCCGTACCCTCGTCTATCGTTCGTTCGGACAATCCGCTCCTCACGCAGCAAAATAAGTGCGATCGCACGTACTTACGCCGGTATCTTGAAAACCGGGTGCCTATATCACCCGCCGCAGCCTCGATCGAGATTACGAGGCTTAGCCAGAACGCGTGCTATCAGAAACATATCGACTGCCAACAACAATAAGACAAATCCGCGAAGATACCCGCTAGCCTGCAGTCATCAGATCGGTGTAAGACTCCCGGATTAGCGAAGAACACAAGCGATCGGTTTGTCTTCTCGGCTCTCGACCGCAGCACACGGAGAGCTCACGAGATACCTTGCCTCCCTTGCAGTCGAACATGATACAAACAGTTTTCTCGGTGCTAAACACGTTTACCCAGTCCTCCCACCCTAGTCTTCCGGGGCTAAATAATTCCATACGTTCTGTGTCGGGCTCCGAATTTCCAGAGAGCCCCGGCTCGTTCTACGACCACATCCCGTTATGTAGATAGATACCCACCTGGATCTCTTCTGCACGGTCATATCATGTCTCGGTTCCACAAGTGTTAGAAAAGAGTTCTCGCTTGCGCTCTCAATCGTCCGCGTGCTTATGCAAGAATCACCGTATCTGTTGATCGACCCGGAAAATCTCTCGTGGATCCTCTGCAGGAGTTGGAGATTCTATTTATGGTCGCAGGAAAAGATCCGGGTCGACATCGATTGATCCTCATGGATGAGTTCCTCGACGGTCACCCCTCCGGAGAATCCTCCATTCTAGCGCCGTCGCTAGAAATTTCACGCCTCCCTGTATTTTGGGGAGCCTGCGCGGCTCGCGGGATCGACCTGTGAATCATTCTTCTCCTAGGCTCTCCGAAACTTCTCGGGATCAACGTGCGGTCGCAAGTTGCCGACTGTCCGAGAACCGACTCGTTGAAAAGGGTTCGCCGATTTGTTTGCCGATAAATGCTTAACAGTGGGCAATATTGGTTTTCTCTCTGAGTCGGGAATAGCCGGCCACGTCGGTCGGTGTACTTTCCCTCTGTTGCGGCGATGAACGTTTCCGGTGAAACGGCTGGGAAGACCGCCGATGCGTGCGTCGCAGAGCCAATCATCATCTCGGAGATATCAGCGCTGAAGTCGATGAAATCATGCTTCTGTGCAGCGGCAAGTCTCAATAAATCTGGTTCGCAACTCGCGAAGGAATCCTAATGGTCGGAATCTAAATCTACGAAAAGATTTTGTTTAGTTTGCCGATGTAACCCAGGAGCAGGATAGCTGAAGCTCTGATTTCCTGTCGGGAGACATTCGATCCCGATGCGATCGATGCGTAAGCTCGGTGTTCAGCGGGTTCCTATTATTTCGGACGGCTTATCAATCTTCTCTCGAACGAAGCGGTCCGATTCGCCGACGGGGCTCGTATACATTGCCGATTCGAACATATAGAATCATTTGGAATCGATGGCCAGCCTTGCCGGTCACGGTGATAGCGGTCACGCAGATCGCTGTCGCAGTCGTCGTAGTTGCCGACGTGCTTTTGGAGTTGGCCGTAGTTGAATGCGTGCCGAAGTCAGCCACTGGTCGGCACGCAACAGCAGTCTTCGAGATCGAAATGATGACGAGCGATAAACTATGAACGACTAGCAATGGCCAATATCGGCGGCTAAGCGAGTGTGCGAGAGCTGAGCTCCGTGAACGAATGACTTGCCGACAGGAGTCTCTCAAAACGCAAATCATTGCCAACGACCTTGAGTCTTCATGCCGCGCTCTGAGAACTGGTCTTATATCATTCTTCTTTTCGAGGCAATCGACGTCAGAACCGCCGAGATTAGTTTAGGATTGAATTATTGTCGTAAATTCGATCCCGTGAAGCTCGAAGAGATCATGCTTTAGAATAATCATGCCCGGCCTCTCTCCTACTCCGCGAAATTCTGGGATCCAGAGAAAAAAATCCCCGGGGTGCCCGAGTCAGGGACTCAGGCGGTTTGTGGGCGTAGAACTACGTGAACACGGAACACGTACTTCCGTGAGTTCGAAGATCTGCGGAAGATTTTCGATACTACCCTCCGGTCGACGAGGGGTATCACGAGATTTCCTCTGGCCGTTGTTCAAAAGACGCTTTTTAGTTTGAGGGAAACGAGATCAAAGAATTCAACTGCGGGAACGGGATTCAGTCGGTAGCAACCTTCGAAGACTTCGGCTTTCCTAAACTCAGAAATGTTGACGAATGACATCAAAATCTACTTATTACTCAACCGACAAACTTCAATCGGATATACGGTCCGATATCTGCACAGAGTGCGGCGTCGTTTTCAGCTTGGCAACCCGCAATTCGGACGGCAACCGGTACGTGACCGAGTGCCACACTTCCTCGTGGAGGATATAAGGATTGAAGAACATCGCGACTATGCGTATGAAAGGTACATTAGATTCCATGACCATGTCCGCCTAGGAGAAACGCTGCTACATGATCTGCTCTCTCGATGAGATGTCATATTGCCGATCTCAAGGAACAATCATTGCATGTCCGATGGAGGATTTTTCGAGTATTGCGAGGCCGCGCATCCGCATCTAGACGATGATGGGAATGAATTAGTTGAAGACTAATAAAATGAGGTTCTTAATGGAATGTCGAAACCTTAGAATGATCATGATTCGGCATTGTAAGGATGGCTTCCCTTATCCTCCTTTTCGAGACCATCACTGGGCGGCGGCAATCAAAAAAGAGAGCTCTTCATGCTGGAATGATTTGTCCTAACGCGAGAGACACACGTTCATTCATTCACAATGCTGCGACAGGACGACAGCACCGTCTAAAAAGTTTATCGTTGGGTGAACCACTCCCTCCCAATCGTCCGCTAAGCCGTACGGCCCGCCGTGGCTAGATTCTCTTAGCACCACGTTGCGTCCTGCCTGATAGGTGATTTCCTGAGGACCACTTCGGTAGAAATGAACTACGACTTCTCGCCCTTGTTTGTTACGGGAATCTGCTTCGTATCGCTTGTCTGAACACTGTTCGTTTTCTTATGTCGGGATTATGGCTGACGATGTATTAGGGGCAACTCGTTCTTTTTTCTTCACGGAGTCCGGCATCCTTAGCTTGCTAGTCAGAAGGTTCTCCGCCGGTGTCCTTCCACGACCATTGACATCGACCAATGAGGGAAGGAAACGCATGAATGTAGTAGCCAAGGCTAGAATGAACGACGAGAGTCCATTCTCATTAGAGGAGATATGAAATGAAGAACGCGCGCACATCGTTTTCCGCTGTCATTATACAACCTCAACCGGAGGTGTTAGTTGTCTTCAGCATCGTCGCAGGGTGGAGGAAGGATTGAGGAAGTTTCAACTATTAATTCAGCAAAAACTGAAGGCGATCCTGAAGAAATAGATCCATCTCTAGCGGAGGAGAGATTCTCCGCCAAATATATATTTAAAATCAGAAAGAGGGAATTTCTGGGTCCATCAATCGACATAGCGTTTCCAGAACAGTTGATTAGGACTAATCAAGGTATGCTGAGGGTTTCTTGCCCTCAGATTTTTCAGCCTCCGAGTCTTCGTTCCGACGTTCTGCGAGAACGAGCCTACTTCTTGGCCTGTATTTTATGAAATAATCAAGATAAGGGGGAAATTGACTAGCATAAAAGGTGCCTCATTCTCAGCCGGACATATTCAGCCATCACCATTTTCATTGTCAAACGCTCTGTTTCAGAGAAATAAGCTCGACAAGTTTGTTACACAGGTGACTCGCATAGAGAAAGTGCGTAAGCCTCTGGCAGACGACCCCAGCACATACGCATGCTATCTCCGAGATTCGAATTTTTTCGAGCTTCGGCCCCCCAATACTTCCCATTGAAGTTGGTGCCCGTCACCGGGGGCTATAGCGTAGTTCTACGCTAAAACCCGCTAATGTACCGGATCCGAGTTTATTCCCGAGAGTTGAACACACATCAGATGCTTCTCGAATCGGAGCAGAGCTCCTGACTGTGACGCTACCGAAAATGAAATGGAATACCTGATTTCGCTCGATTGGATTTTCCCCGGTCGAATTCTGCAGAGAGAGTCGATTTTATTACCTATATCTGTTGCTCTTTCTCCCTGATCGGCGGAAGCCTCCCAGCGATCCGTCTGGGAAGATTTGAATCAATACGCGTTTCTGAACTTACGACATGGGATTATAGGCGGATCTCGGAGCGAATGCAACTCGTAAAACAGAAAACGATGAGAGCAATCGAGCGAAGAGCCCTCTCTCAATCGTTATGCAGACTCAAGTCTGGACTGCTTGGTATCTGTCCGGTATATTTCCGTGAAAAGAGGGGAACCTTCGATGATTTCTATGTCTCCCTGACGTCCTTCCGTTTGTGTCCCGCTAGAACCCTGCAGGAGTACGAAGTCTGAGAGAAAGCCTTCGAGAAGCCACAAGGTCGAACTACTGTCTGTTTCGGTCGGCTCCCTAGCCAAGTATCTGCCGGGCCTGACGTTCAATATCCGGAAACCGCTCCGGCTCCATGGGATCCATGACTTCATAACTCCAGTCGACTTCGCCCCGTCGTCCGATGCCAACATGACATCACCCGTATTGATATGCGCATATGTTGTCTCTCTATGATCCCTCCCGACCTTGCTTCAATGTTTTGAGCGTCAGCGTGTCCTTCGAACGGTCCGGCTCTTCCACTTCAACTTTATCCAATCGAAATCTCACTGCCCTGTAGTGAGACCGAATCAAGTCCAGGAAGGAAGTCAGGTCTCGCTCATGCTTCCGCTTTCGAAACAGGAGTTCTCACCCCGATCGGCATTCAAGGCCGAATCGGTGGGGGAGAAATTCAATTTTTCCGAATAGGCTAGTACACGAGGAGTCTTCGTGGTGCGCTCCGACTCGGATAGTTGCTTAGGAGGTTCCTACGGTGCTTTCGACGTGAAAACGTCTTTCAAAAGGCTGGGGGTATTTCGAGAAAAACTTCGTCATCATGCAGCGTTTTTTGCAACATTTTGCGGGGCTAGAACTCATCAGGTACTCGACGGATTTCCACCAAATTGATGTCTAATGATCGTAAATTTACGGGAGACGATCGTGGCTAGAAATCATGAAAATCAGAATGCTCCTTAATATATTCCTGTCACGATCCGAATACCCCACGAAACTGTGTGGGAAAGAGCATGAATTTCCGTTTTTCATAAAATCCAGCGGATGGAGTACGCTGGTAGGATGAACGTCGGTAGCTAAGCATGATTCGTATCAGTTGCATCGATGATCTCGACTCAAAGTACTGAGTACTGACCGATCGACATAAGCATAGTCAGAGGAGAATTGACCGTCGCGATCACTGACGGACTCTCTGTTCCTGCCGCTTCTGTCCTCACAGTCGGAACCCGGAAATGCTCCGCTTTGAGCATCAGGCTTGTAAAAAATATGAGGGCTGCAGAAGCGTTTTGACGGGTGAGGCTATGGGGATCGGGGTAGGATTTCCACACTTAACGGATTACGAATAACGATGTCGATCTTCGATCGAATGCTCATCATGGGGCCGAAGACTAGTAGTTTACAGCAACGGAAGCGTCGCGCAGAAAGGGGAGAATCTTCTCGGAAGCGACCCCGAACCTCCTCAGAGAGATTCGCGTCATGCCGGGCGCGACAACGTCACGCACCAGAATCGAGTCATACGGGGACAGATCATGTCGAGTCAGAGGCGGTGGCAGAAAGTAACGTAATGTGTAATGTCATTCGACCCAGAGGTATGTGAGACGGACCTCTTCGAGGCTACTGATTTCACACGAGGTGCAGAGTACGAAATCGGATGGTCTCGATCGACTGGCCGTGTCAAGCAAATCTTTATGGAGAATGAATTTGGCCATAAATGCGACGTCTGTGATCGCCTCTGGTTCCTCCGTGATCTGAAAACGGTCACCTCCTCGATGGCGAGTTTCCTATCGACTCACTTCCCGGAGGACGATACCACGCGATTTCGGCTCTGTTCCTCATGTTACAGCACATCTCGGCGCGATAAAGTTCCGCCGATGAGCATGACGAATGGCTATAGGTATCCACCCAAACCATCGGGCTTGCCTAAGCTAGACCCCATAAGCGAGCGACTTGTCTCCCCAAGAATTCCTTACATGCAAATACGCCGTTTGCGTCGTGACGGTTGTCACGGTATTGTCGGTCAAGTCATTAATGTCCCAGTTGATGTCAACACGATGGTACAGAGTTCACCGCGATCATTGGACGACTATAACTCTTTCAACGTCAATCTAAAAAAAAGCATCATCGTAAAATGCTCTTATCTGAGCGGCTCCGTCAAAAAGTCAACCGTGAAAGCCTGGCTGGTGAGATATCAAGTGAAATCACCGATGAATTGATTAAAGTGCATGCATCAATGCTATTTCAGTAATAATATGTAGATTAGATAATCCAAAGGGATAGATGATGATGTCTAGACCACAGGGAGAGAGCGACAGAATACGTTTTCACGTCCTATAACACGGTAGTGTCGTAGGCGCTACTGGCCTTGGCTTTTTTTGGGGAATTTCCTTTTAGCCCCTAGCGACTCTTGAAATTTCGCACCTGACAGCTTTCGTTGGGTAGCTCCCCTCGCTCTTCGGCTCAGTTGGCTGCTCGTCCAAATCTCCCTAGCCAGGCCTCTCGCCGTCTGAGCAGCGTTCTTTGCTTTTCGTCGATGCCTCTGCCGCAGAGAAAGATGGGCCATAAATTCGCTGTAATGATCAGAGACCACAGAATCCTGCATAAATTGCTATGCGGCGATCTGCGATATCCTCAAGTGACGCTGGCATAGGCAGCGCGGCTTAGCTCCTGGCCTGTTTCTCCACCGGGTCGGCTGCCCCTCGCGGTGCCTCACTCTCTGAGCGGGACGGGTCCAGCAAATCTGATCCTATCGGAACCAGGCTTCAAAATGACTCACGAGACGGACCAGACCGGGGTAGAGCGGGCAATATTCTTTGACTGCAACATGGCTGATATATGGCCTATGTCGACCTATGCCGTTCGAAAAGGGAAACGGAGCCACGTCTGTCGAAGCGACCGATTTAATAAGCTCTCGCTCTAACGGCCTGGATCAGCGGCTGCTTCCGAACTCATTGACGCAGCCGATCATTCCCCTGGTGGATGTGGTCGCCGCTGCTGTCATCGTCTTTTCTGAGGTTGCGGTTTCTTGAGAATTTCCCCCTTAAATGAATCCCTCCATGGGAATCGCTGAATCTGCATCAAGGGACTCGTGGAGAACCGCTCTTCAGCACCCTAGTTATGCACTTTTAGCATGGATACAATTTCTTTCGGACAACTTTTCAGGTATACACGGCACGGCCGTTTCGCTCGCTCATCTAGCTCGAGTATTCGCAGCCAAACAGGTTTCATAATCAGATCAGGAATGTAAATACGATCCTTCGCGTGTTGTTTTCGAAAGGGAACATAGTCGAATGTCAAGGGCAATAGAATCAGTGGAAAATTTCTGAGCATGCCCGTGTCTTCTCCGGGGAGAAGTCCCTCAATTCATTTGGAAATCATCGAGCAGCCCTCTGTAAGTTGATTTTCCCAGACAGGATTTTCAATTATCCTTCTGAGTAGTTGTACAGCTATGATCTGCACACTCCACCAGCTTCTCCGAAGCGGATCTACTTAGTTAAATACGGGAGAGAAGGAAGACAGACACGAGTCGAGCAGAGCTGAGCATTTATTTGGATTGCCTCGGCTTGCCGAGATTCCGTCGGACACCCCTAGCCATAATCTAATGATCTGGATCCTCGGAGTAAAGTCGCGGTGTTGTCTGCGCCCCCAGAGAAACTCTCACCCCACCACGGCAATTTTATCTACGATTCGAGAGCATCCGCAGCCGGACTGCCATTGTTTGTGGACATTTCGCATTAAGAGAGGGCGGCTGTCGGGTTGAGAGCTCACCGTCCAGGGGAGGGGTCGTGAAACATTTCTTTGGGGATAAGACAAATGACGAGATTAATCACCATATCACGAGCTGAAAAGCTCTCATCTCCAACTTCAATACGATCCCTCCCCTTGACATGAAAATATTTCGCCCGCGTTCGACTATCCAGTCGTTCGACCTATCCCGATTCCAAGAGCTCTGCTCTACCAGTGAGAGCTCGAAGGGTTCGAGAATCGGGCTCCGGAGTCCACATCAGACTCTCAACTGCGGTAAGTCAAAAATTTATGAAGTCCATCGAGAGGACTCCCCTCTCTAGTATCTCCGATTCTGAACCAGCGCATCTGAGGACAGTTTCGAACCCGATGTTCGGTATAGCTGCGAATGAGAGGATCGGACCTTGCACTTGAGATAGAACCAACGATAGATAACTAGTTGCGGACCTGCGGCAGAGAGGAAAAAGGGCAGTCTTTATGTGGAGACGGCAGAGTTTATGTGGAGACGGTGAATCTCCGATAGATGTGTTCTATGGAGACGCCCGAAGTGCTGCGGGGACTGTCTCCATATGGCGTTGGGTTAGTGGGTATCACGATCGAGATGCGGACCCGCGCTGACTCATGGCGACTGCCCGCTGCTCAATGAATTCACTGACATTCACTCAACTACTTACAAACACCAGGATTCTTTTGGTCGTGCCTGAGACTCCCCGATCGTCCGGCTTCGCCTGACTCAATCAAGAAACAATCGCCCGCTGCGATGCTACAGATGATTGTCATCTCGGACCGAAGCATGTTCCAACGTGATGAAGTGCTCTATGGGGCTAAACCTCTCAAAGTCGCCCAGGTTGAAAGTGTTTCGGAGTCATCTCCGCTGCTCGCGCCGCGTGAATATGATACTTCCCGAGATTTGTTTTCCGGTCTCTCCCAGAGTCAGAGGATTGATATTCACGGCGTCGGCGAACGCCCTCGCTCCAATATTGATGATGTGTAAAAATTGGACAAGAAGCTTGCCCCAACGCAACAGGTTCGCAAATTGACTTTCCGCGCTATAGACCTGCTACCTCACCCGTTTCTGGTGAAATATGAGTGGATCCATGAGCCGTCGGCGGATACGGCCGACGTATACGAGCATCGTCGATCCCGTAGCGCTAATGACTAGACCATTCTTTGTCGTCCAATAGCTCCTATCCACATTCCTGAGCGCGATGATCGGGTCAGGCACCGATCGCGGAGCTTGTCGACGAGCCGACAAGGCCGACGATCGCTCCGAAGGGACTGGACGGGCAAAGCAACTCAATTCCGGACTACTGCTTGCTCCTTCGGAAATCATCGACACTCCGCCCCTGCTGGGATCGCAGCGAGAATAATCACTGCTTAAGAGACGTTAGATTCCGGGGCATACGGTCATCGTTCGCGACGTACCCGAGCGTGCAAGTTCCCCTGCGAACGTTCGACCAGCGGACGTTTAGGCTGCAGGCGTCATCTTGCTGAACAACGCAATGCGGGTCTAGATTATTATCACCGGCACGCGGATCGAAGATCGGAAAGGTTCGCCGTCAGTTTAAAACGAACGCAGTGATGGATGACTCAAATCTCCAGCCCGATGCGATGATGGGCCGAAATCGGCTGTATTCCGGGCGATGCTCCCAGAAGCACCTGTACGATAAGCCCAATTACTGCACGGTCTTACGGACGGACATTTACGGCAGAAAAAAACATGATGCTGTATCGGCTGATGCTCCTCTCTATTCTCTATACCCCGATACGCAAGGAATGAGCTCGATGTTTCATTCTCCACCCGATATCCATCTGACTGAGTCCAACTCCGTCAAAGCCTACGCCTAAAGCTTTTCCTATTCTAAGAATGTAAAGAGCCGAGTGGAATCGCGACCCGGTCACGAGAGAGAAAACACTCTTTGCTTCGGCAAACGAAGTTAAAACTACCTCTGCGGTTGCCGCTACTTTTAGCACGTTCCCCCGGTGGATGAGTCCAATAGTGTCAAGAATAGTCGGAAACGGATATTTTAAGCTCAAATCAGAGAAACCTGGGTGACTAAGCAGGTGCGGCCGGGAGACACCGAGCGCTCAATGCCTCGCTGGATTTCAGGAGGATCGGATCTTGGTTCGGTCCAAATCAAAAGATCTCTGCGACCCAGACGGAAACAGTCCGCCTCTCATTTTAATCCAAACAAATTGACTGATATTCGGTCAATCAGTCTGAATGTGTATCTGAGGGATTAAGGGTGGAAGATCATGGGTTATCCGCCGCGCCACCCGTACCGCCTCGCAGGGGGGCCGAGCGAGAAGCTTCGAGAGCTTACGGAAAGCTTTGAGCGGGAGAAACTAAGAAAAGGCTCCGGAAGAAGTTGAGGGAGCTCCGAGCATCGTCACTTAACACTTCAGGCCAGCGGCTGGGTCAGACCGTATCATCTCGGCCTGCTCGCCTCCATCACACTTTTCATTATCCAACGGGACGACGGAGGGGTGAAGCCGCCATACATTCGCCGGAGGCTCCTTACATAAGTCAAGATGTACGTTGCCCGCGCTCGCTCGCGCCGTATGACCTACTCTCGACGCTTCCGGGTAAAAGCGCGTTCCCCAAAGATTCGGACCCCTGACTGAGTGAGTCGTCTCCGAGTGCCCGGAGACCGGGTGAAGAAACTAACTGGATATTACGAGGATGCAGAACAATCAGCTGGGGATTAGATGGAAAGAGCAACATTTTGCGCTTCCGTTATATGTTAACGAGGATCTCCGGGAGGATTTCCGACTGCGGACCGGATTCCTCATCTCGACTTTGCTTCCGGAATCCAAAATGAAAATATCATTCTCTGACGAGTTGCGTGCCTATACGTGCCCACCATGTCGGATGGGACTTGCGCAATGCGTTCCGATTCACTTACGTTCATCATGCGATGCGATCGGCTCGATGTAAATTCCGTCAAAGGGGCTTGCAGGTGTGCATTCGCCTCCGGTATCTCTGCACAGTGGAAAGTGTGCTTTGTCGTCAGGCGTTTCTCCCACGGTGCGAAGCGGAAGAGGAAAACATATCGAAAATCAATGCGAGCAGAGACAGAGGAAACTTTCTCCTTGACACTTCCGGACTAACTTCCGGAAAAACAGCGAGATGAGGCCGGCTCTCCCTAGCGTACAGTAGATAGGAGCACGGTGCTCTCCTTATGGATTTGTGTCATGTGTTGACGACAACAGTGAGCTCCACAAGCAAGTCATCATTGCAACACGCGGAAGAAGCGGTCCTGGACAAACCCGAGCCCAAGCTGGACTAATTACCAGCTTCAGTCGCTTGGGACGAGGGGAACCTTGCAGAGGTTCCTCCCCCGCTGCAACCCTCAACTCGAGAGCCAGCTTGCCCTTTGCCTTCGGCTCTGCCAGTCTTTCCCCTGAGCCTACTCCATTTTCCTCATCGTCTGACCGACTGAGCGAGTGAGATGTTCTTTCACCTCTGTCG